CAGAGCGGCGGTGGGGTGTCCCCCCGGCCCCCCTCCAGCTCCCCCGGCCCGGCTGAGGAGCCCGACGGCTGCCCCCGGGGTCGGAGCCGGGACGCGAGGCTCCTCCCCGGCTTGGGAGCGCCCGTCGCCCGCGGCCTCAGCGCTGTCCCCCGCAGCAGGTCCCGCTCCCCCGGGGCGGCGGCGCGGACACACCTGAGCTGCCTCGCGCGGAGCCCCTGCGCGCGCGCGTGTGTGTGTGTTTGTGGGTACGCCTATGCGCGCGCGCGTGTGTGTGTGTAGGTGCGCCCCTGTGTGTGCGTGCGGGTTTGTGTGCGCGTGTGAGCGGGTGCGTTTGTGTGTGCGCACGTGTGTGTAGGAACGATGGTGTGTGGGTCGTGGTTTGTGTGCATCACCTGAGCTGCCTCGCGCGGAGCCCCTGCGCGCGCGCGTGTGTGTGTGTTTGTGGGTACGCCTATGCGCGCGCGCGTGTGTGTGTGTAGGTGCGCCCCTGTGTGTGCGTGCGGGTTTGTGTGCGCGTGTGAGCGGGTGCGTTTGTGTGTGCGCACGTGTGTGTAGGAACGATGGTGTGTGGGTCGTGGTTTGTGTGCATTGGTCTAGCCTCTGTGTCGTGTGTGTGTAAGTGCGCACACCTGCGCACACCGGGGAGCCAGCAGCTGCGACCTGCCCGCTGCGCCGGTCCCCACGCACCCTTCCCGCACTCCCCCCTCCGCCGCCGGCCTTAGTGGAGCCCCCGGTTCATCAGTAGGAACCTCAGTGCGTGCAAACGTGTGTGCGTGCGCGCACAAGCATGTGTGCGCGCAAGCATGTGCGCGCGTCTGCGTATGTGCAAGTGTGTGTGTGCAAGTCTGTGCGACTGTGAGTGCAAGTGTGCGCGCGCCCGCATGTGTGTGGGGGCACGCAAATGGGCAAGCCCGCGTCCTGGCGCGCAAGGGTGCGTGTGCGTGTGCGCGCGCCGTGCCAGCCCGGCCCTGGGCACACGGGCGTGCCAGGCGCTCACACCCCCGGCAGCCG